ATGTTTGACACTATGTCATTCTAACAGAATAAAATCTGTTAGTATTAGAAACTATAATAGAAATTAAATTTGAATTAATTTAAAAAATTCAGATTTAAAAAAAACGAAATTAATTATCCCTTAAAATCTGGAAATTTCCTTTTTTAATGTAGGTTAATTGATCAAAACACCCTTCTGCTGAAATTTGTGTGATTATATGGTACATGTTACTCTATTGTAATATCGTAGACCCTCAGATCATTCCTAGTGATTTTATTCATCCATTGATCCATAATTGTGCTTACGAGTACGCAATAGATGTAAGTAACATCATAACCTAGCCATATATATATATATATATATGTATGTATGTATAATAGTCGTTTACCCGCGCCAAGCCACATGTGTGAATAATTTTTTCGAATATTAGTTTCTTGAGATGATTAATTCTTTTGTACAAATAGTTTAGTACATCTAAAAAATTATCAATAAAATTCATGATAGCAGAAACAAAATCAATAAGAATTAAAAATGAAAAATTTAGATTCTTTACAAATGTATATCAATACATGATTGATTGTACATTATTAAATGTGCAACACTTCTTTATAGACCACATTTGATGTATAAATTTAACTGTTGTTGAATTGTTTGTGAGGGTTTACTAATAGTTTTGTATTAACATGTGATATAAAATAAACTAACTAATACAAATGAGTTTTTAAAATACCAATTTTTTCAGTTTTTGAAAAATGTTCATTTACTACCAAATGCCTCATTTTAGATTTGATCATCAAATTTCAGAGTTTTTTTTAACCAAAGAAATTTCTATATTAAAGTTTGAAATATCTTGTTTGAAGTGTTTAATGGCACCATTTTTCCATTAAATGTTTGATTTTCATTAATTAGATTCTATTTGTTGGGCATTGGATTGTTTTCATTAAACGGATAATTATCCCTTTAGACGAATAGTTTTGTTTTAGAAACATGTCATATTGCAAAAATATTTAGTGTATAACTCAATTATTTTTTAGGGTATAAGGTTTCGTGTTTCACATTTATGGTTTACTGCTTAGGACTTGGAGTTTAAAATTTAGCATTTAGTAAAAATGAGTTATATTCATTCCAATATAAATTAAGCTTTAGAACAAAATAAATATCCAATCCATTGACTTTTTTTGATTAAAAAAAAGTAAAAAAGAAATAGATTAAAAAAATCTTTATGAGTATTAGATTGAAATTTTCCATAAAAGAATGAAATACTACAAATAACAATTGTAAAACCTAATTTATTTCTCTTTTTTATAATATCTTATTATTAACTAATAACTTTTATTAATTTGAACTTTAAAAAACAAATATTAATGGAAATTTAAATCTTATAACAAAAAGAGGCAAATACAAACACTAAGGTGCTGTTTGTTTTTTCGAAGCAAAAATTCAAAAAGTCTGCGGACCACCTCTACAAACCTTCACCGCAGAAGAAGTGGACCAAACGGCTGCAGACTGTAATAAGAAGCGTGTTTGTTTTTGTTAACATATGCAGACTGCTGCAGATATTAAAAAATTAAAATAAACTAATTTAATAAATCGAAAATTATTTTTAAATACATAAAATTTAATAATTATAATCTTAAAACATTGAAATAATAAAATATAATATGTTATATGTTTTGTTACAATCTGTTTTTCCATTTTATTTTTTATTTCATAATTAAAACAAAATAATAGACACTTATTTAAAAAGAAAATAAAAAATGAAATTCTAGACACTTATTTAAAAAACAACATTAAAATTAATTAGCTTATGTAAATTAAATGAGAGAAAAGAATTAAAGGGATATAAATTTAATGTATTAAATGTTAAAGGGATGAAAATAGAATTTAATATATAAGTAAAGGACCATAAATGTAATATTAAATATACACCATTACAAAATGTAATAACAACACGTTCAATTTTTAGAAGAAAAAAGGTTTTTTGGGGTTGAATATTTTAGGTTTAGGTTTGAAGGGGTGGAAAGAGGTAGGAAGAGGTATAACAAGTGCTTCCCCAAGAAGCACACGGGCAGAGGTTTTAAGCCCCGAAGACTTCCGAAAAACAAACTGCTGCGGGACAAAAAGTGTTGCGCGTGTGCTGCGTTGCGCAGCAATAAGAGTTTTGAAGAGGTTTTTTAAGAAAGACAAACAACACCTAAATAACCACAAAATTAGTTTATTGACATCAAAACATAAAACTAAATTAAATGTCAACAGCAATATCGATGAAATACAAAATATATGAATTACATAAATAGAAAACCTTCACCAATGTAGCAATGAAAAATGTTAGAAATATACACAATTTCAATCAAAAATAACAACACCAAGACAATGAGGACAGACAACAATCCTTTTAACTAGTAAAAAATGTTCAGCTTACTATTATAAACAACACTTTTATAATTTAAAAAAAAAAAAAAAAAAAAAAAAAAAAAAAAAAAAAAAAAAAACACCAAACATCACCCCAAAATAACCAAGACATTGAATTATTTTATTCATTTGGAAATGTGAAAAAGATAAAGGCATCATTACACAAAGGTGCGATGAAATCCAATAGCATCCCCAACAATTGTATTTCTTTTTTCTAGTAATTTATACTTTTAATTGTTGATTTTTATATATTTAGTACCAAAAAGTTCTGTTGCGAAATTTGGTCCTTTTTTGGGTTTGATTATTCTGGTCTCTATGTTGTTTATGTCAATAGTCTTGCTTTCAATTTTTTAATAATGACCATTTTTTCCTTGAAAAGTTGAAACAAAATATACACTGTAACAAAATTATAATTTCTCTTATCCTTTAACTTTGATATAATTAAAAAAAATGACCAATTTTACAAATATTACATAACTTAATTAAAGTATAAGAGAATATTACCAATGTTGGTCCCTATCGAACCATTCTTTTTCAGTTTTTGTCCAAGGTTATAATGGTCAAGATTTAAGTTGACAGTTAGACTATTTCCTATGTAAATTTTAGTCATAACTATTTTTAAGTAAAAAAAACTATTTAATTTTGCAAGTCAAACAAATTCCTAAAAGTAGGCAAAATAAAAAATCTAGTCAATGAAGTAACTCCAATTAACATATAATTTTTCTATTATGTTCTTGCCATCGTCTGTTATCATAAATTCATAATGGCATAGTTTTAACAGATGCTTCCATGAAACGAAAGTAGGATACTATTGGTTACCACTTCTTCTATGACATTTCAAGATTCTTACATAAAATTTTGTATATTATATAAATAAAATAATCTTGGGAACATGAATCTTACATGTATTTTTGCCATGGAGGTAGCTGTACAACATTTCAGAATTTATGTAAGAAGGGAAGCTTGGTTTTGTTTCACTTACCATTTAAATATCTTATAGCCTCGCGATTTCAAATCTGCAGAAAAATGTTAACAGAACATTCAAATTACTATTATCCAAAAAGCTAAAAATGGTAATTAACTTTGAACTGGAAAACCATATTGAAGATCTAGTACGCACATTTGACAAATTCATTTTAGACTTCACTAAGACTCTAAATGTTACTCTTTAAAAAAAAGACTCTAAATGTTCATTTTAGCCTTAATCAGGAGCATACACCACCACCCATACTCCTTCCTCTTTCTCTCCCATAATGGTCCATGTCACAAAAAATAGAAATCCAATCACATCCAGTCAGAGCTGAAACAAAGTTTGTATTGATTTCAATGGGTTATAGACAATGTAAGATGATTAAATAAGAAAAAAAAATAGAACTAAATGTATGTTGTTATATTAGACAAAACCGACATACATTGTTAGTTATTACATTCAACCCACGATTGGGAAAATGCAATAAATCTCAATGCACTTTCATTTTTTTTTCTAATATAACTTCTTAATTTCATTTTTTTTTCTTATCCAGGTTAAACAAAACATGTTCTTCCCTAGATTTAGGTCCATATATTCCCTCCAAAGTACCTTCAAGAAGGACTTTTTGGTCTTTAAGTGATCACAATACTCCAACATATATATGAATAATGTGCACTGAATGTACCAAAACACGTCATCAAATCTTCAATTTACCTAAAGTTACAACTTTTTGAATAACCAAAAACCAAAAATAAAGTTTATATCTCCAAAAAGAACAAAAAGGAAGAATTTTGTACATGTACTTAGAAGCACCTAGCTCGTAGCAAAGACGCTATACTAACTTTAATTATAAATGTAAACACCAAAAGCCATCCAACTGCAAATTGTCAAATACCTATAAACACAAGGGAAATTAGGAAATACAACTTACCGGTTGAAGCTTGAATTTCTTGAAACCTTCATTAAACCTGCAACCAACTAGACCAACACAAAAATCAATAAAATGTTAAATAAACAACCATTTTAGGAATTATAATGGTGGTTTTTAGATAAATACGGAAAGAGAGGTTGAGAGACGACAGAAAAGAGTCAAAGGTCGTCATGTATTACAAATTTTTATATTCATCGGCGAGATATTTTTTAATCAGATTTTTTGAAGTCTGAGAGTGAGGAAGCTATAACCTGATGGTGAGAAGAAGAAGGCCTAAAACCCATATTTAAGAATCAAGGGTATAGTTTAGGGTTAAATAAACAAAAACCACAAAACACAAAATAAAAACTTGTTTTTAGGGATTTTCTAGGTTATCCTTTAGATGTGGTGGTGTGTGTGTGTGTGTGTTTTCTTCTTCGTATATCTAGTGATGGTTTGTGGTGGTTGATGGTGGTAAGGGAAACACTTTCAAGTCCAAGAGCATCGATCGAGTGAGAAGAGAAAAATGAGTGCGAAGAGAAGGATGTTTTGAGTTCAAATCCACCAATAGAGTTTGGGGGTGATAGTGTATTTCTGTTGAGATTAGAGATTCATGTAATTTGTTTCTTTATCGCCTTCTTCAACAAATAAACAAACAAATTGTGGTGATGCGATGGTGTTCAAGGAGAAAGACAAAGAGGCATGAAGAGGTGTGATGTGGTGGTTTGATCAGATGTGAGGTCCGAGTGGTGCGCTAACGTGAGGTGAATTTTCCGATGGTGGGGAGTGGTCCGGTGAGTGGTTGTGCTGATGCACCAAGAAAGGGGAGATAGGGATGAGCATGAAGAGTCTAATCAATGGTTTGGTCTAGGCTTTCACTGTAATAGGGTCTTTTGGTTTAATATGCATTTTTGGTAGTATATGTGTCAGTTTACGGCCAAGCTAGAGTTTACGGCCGTAAACCTAAAGGCCGGCCTAGGACTGTTATAAATAGGGGTTTGCTAGGTCGTTTATTGGTTGTTGATGCCTCAGAGTCTCGTGTGCTATTCCACAAGTTTGTACCAGACATTTTTGCTAATAGAAGTGTGTGCAAGCTTGTTGATATTCTGTTCTCTACTCTGTTCTTAATTGTTATAGATTGTGTTTGCTGTTTGATCACTGGTAAGATCCGTTTCATGACCTTACATAGCAGGGGGGGAAAGAATGGAGAAATCGAGGATGCCAATTGAATATGCAATTTTAGAAGAGCTACATAATATCCATCTAACCGATTCAATTGATGGTTTTGACCAATTCACTTAGCTGAAATTGAGGAACCGATGGTTTAAGTTTGACTAATTCACTTGTTTGACAGGATAAGAAAGGTCAGGGGAGTTTGTTAGACCGGATAGGGGATGTGGACCGAGTCAATAGCCATCTTTTAAAACTTAAGTTGACCGCATAGCATAAAGTTATTGTACATATTGTATAAGAGGTTGTACCTCTTAAAATTCAGCATTTAATGTTAAATGCTTATTAATGTATGTATGTATGTATATATATATATATATATATATATATATATATATATATATAT